CACACACACACACACACACACACACACACACACACACACACACACGCAGCAGCTATTGTAATAATCTAGGTGATGAGGATCTGCACCAGGGGGGTGGCAGTGCCAGAGGAGAGAGAAGGGGGCATATTTGGGAGATGTTTAGGGATGCATAACTGTCCTGCATTGTTACCTTTTTGAAGCAAGGCAGTGCGGTGGAATAGAGTATTACAAGGTACACATCGCAAGGATGTTTTCCCCGTATTTATAAACCAGGAAACTGAAACTCAGGAAAGTTGAGATTTATTCAAGATCATACAGGTGGGTAGTAAGCATCAGAGCCAGTGTTGTTCTAGTAATCCACATTGCCTCATGTGAGTAAGTCGTGTGTACTAACTAAGTAGGTATTGTGTGCTAGCGACTGTGCTGAGCTCGGGAGTTACAAAGAAAGGCATGAGGAGCTCTCAGTCTAGTGGCGGAGACATTGTGCACAGACAATGTCAGTTGGAGGAAAGGCACTAGCATTGAGGGGGATCAGGAAAGGCTTCCTGTGGGTGGCAAGATTTTAGCTGGGACCTGAAGGAAGCCAGAAGATGGAGATGAGCAGGGAGAGCACTGCAGGCATGAGGGCCAGCCAGAGAAAATGCCCAGCATCAGCAGGTGAAGTGTCTAGTTTGGGGAAGAGCATAAACCAGGAAATACGCTCTGGGTTCTCCTGGCCTCAGCTGGACATGAAGGTCAGCGAGTCTTAGCCACTCCCTACTTCATGTATGAAGGTGAGTGAAGGATGGGAAACTCTTCTTTGTCCAGAATGGCAGGGCAACAGAGCACCTCTTCAATCACGTGCTCTTGTTAACTGGAGGTCCTCACAGACCTTCTACCTGGGCTGTAAGTTCCTGAAGAATGTGAGGAGTCTTGGACTGTGTGGAACTCCAGGATCTTATCAATTAAATACAAAGTGTCAGTTTAGGAGGGAGGAGGGAACATGGGAAAAAATAGACCGTTGGTAGGTATGCAGTGGGGACGGACTTGAGCTCCAGCTGTGCCCTGGGCTCTCTTGGTGACCCTGGACAGAGCATTTCACCTTTGTGGGTCTCACTGTCTTTATTTACAAAATGAGAAAGCTGAACTAACTTTGTCCTTTCCTCTCAAACAGTCTGTGTTCTAAGGTTCCTCCCAGCTCTGACGTTCTGTGTTCTAAGATCTTGTTCCCAGTTCTGACATTCTTGGTTCTAAGGACCCTCCCAGCTCTGACAGTCTGTGTTCTAAGAGCCCTGCCAGCTCTGACATCCTGTGTTCTAAGGGCCCTGCCAGCTCTACCATTCTGTGTTCTAAGGGCCCTGCCAGCTCTGACATTGTGTTCTAAGGTCTTCTTCCCAGCTCTGACATCCTGTGTTCTAAGGGCCCTTCTAGCTCTGACACTCTGGGTTCTGAGGCCCCTGCTCAGCTCTCATTTTCATAAATGTGTGGTTGTAAACAAATTGTGCTCAGTCTCTATTGACAGCCAGTATAGAATATAATCTTTTTCTTTTAGTCTCAGTCATCAATGTCATTATAACTAAACTCTGGTTATTTGAGCTCACTCTCTGTTTGATGTTAGAGTTAATGGGTATTTACTGTATTTGTGAGCAGGATTATTGTAGTTAACGCTGTATTGTAGTTAACTGTAGTTTGTTTCTCTTGATTATTCCCCAGTTTACAAGTTTATGACTTTTCCCTGAATTCCAAGAGTTTGTTGGAAACCCAGAATAGAAACCTTCGTTTCATGTACCCAGTGATTAGTCTGATGTTGTAGAAGTAGGTAAACTATTTTGTGCAGATTCTAAGCATTCCTTCCTTGCACACCTGCCCCAAATAATGAAGAGAACATTGTTTTTACAACAACAACAAAAATGTGAGTGTTTTTTCAGACTGACAGGAATTTTAAGGACCTGCCAACATTCTCCAGAAAGGAAATGTCATTCCTTAGATCTCTTTGCCAGGGAACTGTAGGGGAATTTATCTGGCCCCACTGCAGATGAGTACTGAAGAGAAACACTTAGCCAGGCCTGGGCAGGCTACTTTCCCAGACCATACCTTTCTTTGCTTGATCTGGCTTTGCTCTTTTGTGTAGTCTTAGATCCTTGGGAAGCTTTAAGGGTTACAGAGTATTTTTACATATATTTCCATTCATCTTCAGGGGAGCCCTGGCAATATTGTCCCCATTTTACAGTGGAGGAAACTGAGATTTCGAAGTGACTTCAGCACCTTAGAAAGTCAGCTGGGGCCAGATTAGAGACCTGCCTGCTCCATCCTGCTGGGGCAGCCTGGCCAGATGGAAGGAGTGGACAGGCATGCTTGGACCCAGATGTCTTTGAGCAAGTCACTTCCCTTTTGTCTCAGTTTCTTCAGTTGTCAGATGGGCCGAGTAAGGTTTTTTCCCTTAATGGAAACCTGGATGCTTTTACCCTTTTGACAGCAGAGAACAAACAGGACACACAGGCCAGGACTTCTAGCACAAGGATCCATGACCCTGTCCCCTTGGCACATAGATGGGGCCCTAGAAATATGTCCTTGATGATTTGACCTACAGCCGGTGGAGTGGCCTCTGTCCTGAAATTTGGACATCCTGAGCTGGGGTACACACAAGGTTGTGTGGCTCTTGTACTTGTGAAGTACTTGCAAGCCAAGAGGGCCGAGTAAATGCCGGGTACTTATGATCCAGCTGTCCATGTGTCAGTGCACTGTGGTGGGCTTAAGTAGTCTGAGAAATGAATGTGTAGCTTCTTAGTCCAGGAGGCTGGTGAGCAGAGACTTGTTGGAAAAGGTCAAAGTTGGAAAAGCCGGAGGAGCCCCTTCAGCTCCCAAATGTCTTTGACCTCCTCTGGTATCTCTCTGTTTGCTGGCAGGGTGAGGCAGATTTTGGCAGAGCTTATATCGGAGCCTATTGGCACTCCTCTAAGCCATCAGTCCTTTGCCTTTTAAAAGCAAACCAAAAATAGCCTTAAATCTGCTTATCTGCTCAGAAAACCTTCCTGTGTGTACAGGTTGGCAATTTCTGAGGCTTCCCCAGTGGCCCTGAGGCTTGTCCTGTCCCCCAGGCATCCTGGTTTTTCCTGTGATGGAATAAGAATCAGCAGCCTGGTACTCCTATTTTGTCCTTTGTGGGAAGGGTCTTTTGGAGGAAGGATTCATGGGCATATGTCTGAGGTGGAGGAAATGTCCTGACACTTTGACCAGGCAGCTGATAATTTGATCTGTAATGGTCTCAGCATATTCCGGTCCCCTCCCGAAATAGAAAGGGCAGGCCTAAGCACAGCTTTGTATGGTCAAGCTGAGTGCAGAACATGCTCTCGGATTCTTAGGACGGGGTAGCCTTACAGAAGGTGACCCTGTCCTTTGTTGGCACAGCACTTAACTGAAAAGGGGTCATTCCTCATTCAAGGGTCTGCTCAGTTTGGGGTAGTTAGTCCCCATTTAGATCAGAAAAAAGAGAATGAGATGGGGCTTCACTTAGTGGAATTGTAAGAGTTAGAATGCGAGGAGGGGATCTTGGGGACCTTCTAGTCAGTTCCCAGATATGGAAATGGAAGCCCAGTGATCTTCAGTGACTTGCCCAAGCTCCCACAGCTTGAAAATGGCAGGGCCAGTATTTGAACTCCAGACACTACATTCTTCCCATA